TATAACCCTTTATGTTGTGTTCTAGGTAGAACCATCTGAACGGGGTTCCAGGTGGAACCTCTATAAAAGGTTCTACCAGGAACCAAAAAGGGATCTCTTATGGGACAAGCTGAATAACCCTATGGTTATAGTTAGCACCTTTATTTCAGATTGCACTCTGTCTGTTTGGTGGCTTGATGATTGGTCAAACTGTTGAGTGTTTCTGTCTTATGGTTTGGTTGCTTGCCAACACATAGCTCCGCGGAGATATTCACTGTACTAAAGGATGTTTTTATATGATTAATATCGGCACCAATACAGGAAAAACCCAGTGTCCAAAACGCTTGGAGTGGCAGCTAGTCCTGATTGTTCTCCTGTTTGTCTAGAAAGCCCTAAATGGGCTGTCCCTGACCCCCTAACCCCTTAATCTCCCTCCAGGCTCCTGGCTGTCCAGTGATCTAAACTTAAGCTCAGGGATGACAGAGATGTCTGTTGCCCAAGGAGAATATCTGTTCTTGGAAAGTCGTACAAATTACCTCAAGTCAACTCCCTTCAAAACCCCTCAGAGTACTAGCAGGTCTTGAAATGATATAGAGTAGAACATGAGGTTTGTTGTCTTCAGACATAATTACCTCTAAGTGCTACAAGGCCGACAAGTAAATAAGTGCACTATCAGCACTAATGTGAGGTCCCTTCAGTCTGCTCTTTGAAAGTGAAACGTGAAGGTTGGTAAGTTCAAAATGCCTCTGACAGTTTTATTGAACGTGTCCTATCGTGTGAGTTCTAATATAGAAAGCCTCCTCGTATCATTAGTTTATTATGGATGGATAGTTAATTTCCTGTTTTTTTTCAGAAACATATTCAGTCTTAATTGGATTCATAGTGAACTAAAATTGAGATGAGAGAAATGTCAAAATTAGCCTCTGCATGTATAAAAGCAGGGGGAAAAAATCGATACAGCCCATCAGTTGGTAGCATCACATTCAATATGCAAGTCATTGTTAGAGAAGATAGGGTGTGCTGGGTCAAAAATCATTTTCATGTATATATGTTATGTTATAAACTGATACAGAGCAGAGTGACACAGAGCCGGAGAAGTTATCAAATGGGTGTACTGTAATGTATTTCTTTGTCTTCCTCTTGTCTGCAGGGACTTTTCGGGGCGTTTGCAAAGACATCGATCACTTTGCTGAAGATGCAGACTATGAGCAGGATGCTGCAGAGTATTTACTACGTGGGTAACAAATGTGCACATGTAACTGCGAGATCTATAACAACTATAGTGCAAGTCTCAGGTATTCAAGTTTTACATACAGTATATCCCCATTCTCCTCTCCTCAGGCGCAGTACGAGCCTCCAGCCTCTTCCCCATCCTCAGTGTGGGACTGTTATTTCTCGGAGGTGTATGTGTGGCTGCCAGCGAGTTCTACAAGTCACGTTACAACGTCATCCTCTGCGCGGGTATACTCTTTGTCTCTGCAGGTCAGAAACACACACACACACACACGCACATCTAATGTGCATGCATGTATTTACAGTATTTATCATGCATCTGACCCTCTCCATCTCTGAACTCTTCCAGGTCTCAGCAACATTATTGGCATCATCGTGTACATATCAGCCAACTCAGGCGACCCCAGCCAGAGCGACAACAAGAAGAGCTACTCCTATGGCTGGTCTTTTTATTTTGGAGCTCTGTCCTTCGTGCTGGCTGAGATGGTAGGCGTCCTTGCAGTGCACGTGTTCATAGAGAAACACAGACAGCTGCGCACTAAAGGCCGGCCGTCCCTCATTAAACCGCCCACCTCTCGCAGCTCATCTTACTACCGCAACCGCTACAACCACAGCCGCTCACGCCGATATAGCTACAGGAGCAACCACAGTGCAGGGGACTCGGTCTCACACTCCTTTCGAGCATCCTTGGTGCGAGACCGAGAGCCGTCCATCTCGGCTGAATCCAAAGCCATGGCAGGTTTGCCAACACCAGTGACAGTGGGCTCGGAGTTCAGGCTCTACACCTTGACCTCGCCTCTCAAAGACGCTAAGATAGACATGGCCGTGGATGATTTAACTACTGTGGCAGCTCACAACAACACAGAGATGGTGCCTGGAAACTGTGCTGCCAACAGGAGGACCACGCCTGTCTGAGAGGAGAGGAAGTGGAGGATGTAAAACACGAGAGGACCTTCTGTGAGAGGAGAACATTAAATCAAGGGAAGTCTTTCTTGGTAAAAGAAAAGGGGGAAAGGCCTTGGAGACCGGAATAGGCCTGCACAGACTGATCTGTCAGAAAATAAATGATGAAAATAAAATAACTCATAACCACAGTTTCCCAGTGCCAAGTTTGACGTATCCAGAGTGATTGTTTTGTCTGACCAACAGTCCAAAACCCCAAAATATTAAATTTACAATGATACGAAACAAAGAAATTAAGTAAAACTTCATGTGTGCGAAGCTGGAATCAGAGACTGTTTGGCATCCTTTTGCTTGAAAAAAATGCATATTTGTATGCTCTTTGTATGTCCTTTTGCTATGCTATTACAGTAGCTATATCTACAGTATATCCGTAGTGTGTGTGCGAATGAGTGTGTGTATAATTATAGGAGTGTGTGTTTGAGACAGACAGTCATGCGGAGAGAGACAGGAAGGAGGAGCGTTTTCATGACGATAATAAACTATCAAGTAGAAATACAAGACACACACACACACACACACACACACAAACATCTGGGAATGACACAACTAACTATGTCCATTTCCTGTCCTCGCTTTCGTGGACCTCAGCTCAAAATCGAAACCCCATTAAATGCATTAGATCCCTCTCAATCTGTCTCTCGCTGTGTCTGTTTGAGTGTGCATTGCATAAGCATGTGAGCATCAGTGTAACAAAGAGAACCCTTATGGCTTTGTCACCGAGTCTCTGTTTACATCAAATAAAGTTTATGAATTTACACAAAAATGTGCTTTGGGGAGAAATACGTGTGGTTTAAGGGGCAGTGTTGTTGCTTTTTTTTTTTTGCTGTACAGTTCACATCTCAGGTGTCTGTGAGAGAGAATATGCATATATCCGCCCTTGCATAAGTGGGCACAGAAGCAAATTTCCAAGCAAAGTACAAATGTACAAACAAGTAATCAAAACAGGAAGACTTTGTGTGTGTGAACGTGCATGAGTAAGCTGTGTTAGAGATGATGATAGGACCGCATAAACAGCTTCAACAGCATAACAGCAGGCAGAGTGATTCATTACCATGGAAGCAGCAGCATCATGCAGGCGAACATTCAAGGCAGTTTTGATGAATACGCTCACGGTGCCATCATGTACTGACCACACAAGAAAATCAACACCATTGCACATACTAGAGACCATGTCACCTATTTCACTGTGTATATTGACCACAGGACAAAGCAATGACTCAAAGTCATCCTGGTACATTGCTTGTTATTATTACTTCACAAGTATTACTGGCAGCGGTGGGATTTAAACCCACGACCCCCGAAGAGACTGGAGCCTTAATTCAGCACCTAAGACTGTTTCGGCCTACGTCTGAAAACCAATAGCAAGGCAAGTCTTTAAGTCTGTCTATATGGAGAAATATACAGATTAATCACTGTTGTGTTTTTATGTTTATTAGCTAGTCGATAACTTTGTCTTTCTTCCATTTGGTGCTTGGCAGACAGCTGCCTGCTGGGACTGGAAAAATGGGGTTGATGAACCTCAGTGAGACTGGACCAAAACAGTGAGCTGAGAGATGCTAAAAATGCAGAACTGAGGTGATAATTCTTTGTGGGTTTGTCCATAGACACTGGTAACGTTGCACTTTTCTCATTTGGTGCATTGTGGAAAAAAAATGTTTGATTAGTGCAGCTTTGACTTTATCTTTTTAATAAAATGGACAATTCAAATTTTTACTTATATCTAATAAATGTTATATAATTTACTAACCATATGGCAATACCTTACAAAACCATCACAAACATCAACTGATCCAGCTTCAATGTCGAGCACCGTTTTATGGTTTCATGGTACTGACTTAATGTTAATGTACTCTTGTGTATGACTTTCCCTTCTTGCATATTACTAAGTAGTACACCGACAAAACTCTGGCAGCGGTGGGATTTGAACCCACGCCTCCTGAGAGACTGGAGCCTTAATCCAGCGCCTTAGACCGCTCGGCCACGCTACCTGTAAACATAACTCATTATATGTCTAGAGGGATAATATAGATCCCTGTTTGAAGTCATGTCCGACAACTACCATGAAAATACATTAATGCTCCTGAAACAACGCAATTGAACAGCCAAAGAACATCAGAAAAACAAGATCGTTCACATCTATTTTGAAACCTTTTGACCTGCTAACACCAACACAAACTCAAGCATAGGGTTTAGTGGTACAACGAGACACATACAATAAGAAAGAAAGTTGAAAGAAAGTCGTCTTCTAAACTACAGATTGATGACGGATCAATTGATTTATAAAATAAATAAATATTTAATATGTATGGGCTAAATCAGCACCTGCTATTATATTATTGGCATGCTATTTAAATAACAATAATAATAAATACATACATTTTCCTATGAAATAAATACATATGGCTATGAAATAAATTAACGAGGAAATAGATATATGAATAAATATCAATATAAATGAGTCAATATAGTTAAATAAATAAATCGTTTTTTATTTAAATAATGAAAATGTCAAAGTACTATTTTAAAACCATAAGTATGTATTGAACTCCAGCGACTAATTTATATCTACATGTATTAATAACTGTATTGCCTCACTTTTTCATATTTATTAATTTAATATTAGATAGAATAACATTCCATATTATGGAAGCCGGTATCTACAAAAAGAAAATAAAAAATGATGAACTGCCGTCACGAACTGCCAATATTTTCATGTCGTTGTTCTGTCGGAAGTGTGCTTCCATTTTTAAATAGACCGACGTGAAACCTCTTGCGTTCATGTGTAGTCTTTGGAAGAACCCTGTGTACTTCCGGTTCCGACATGCGCCATTTTGATGAAACAGCGAGGAGAGAAGCAGTTTGGATCATCGAAATGGATTTTATGGATTTAAATTGAAGATTAACGCGGATACTCAACTTTCGACTCGACGTGATGGAAAATGGCTGTTTAATGAAGAGGAACCTTTGCGTCCCGACCACCTAACTGGTGCATTGGTTAGGTCATTGTTAGCATAGCGCCGTTAACCTTTAACGTTAGCTAGCTGTTAGCTTCTGATAGGCAAGTGGTGGTTTCATGTTGTGTTGAGTGGCGAGGTATCGTTAGCTAATCTCGAGGTGTAGCATGCTAGCCTTGACATTAGCTAACTAGCTAATTTAGCACTTAAAACAGTATATTACGATTTCAGAATACGGTCTTCAAGGAGGTCTATCGACGATAACATTTGTGGACTCGTTGCGGAAGATTTCACTCGGTTTTGTGGACTTTTTGTGGAGCTCGGGCGGGTTTGTCTTGACAAATACGAACTGTACCAACAAGGCAAACATTCACGGACTGATGCCCTGGAAACCCCAGGCCCGCTGTTAGCCACACTAGCAGCCCGGGCTTTCCACCAAAGACTATTCACGAAGGACCTCATTCACACCGCTGTGATAGATTTACTTTGTGCTGAATGGACTCTCTCGGAGGCACCCTGTTATGTTTAATCGGACTTTAAAGAACTGACGAGGCACACGACGCCGCTCCATGGCGCTCTGGCCTCGCATCTCGATTATTTTTTTTGTTGGCAATAACAAAGACTCTTTGGCCCCTTACACCCACCTCCTTTTGTCTACAGTGTTTCAGCGAATATAACAAAAGTTTAACATATTAAAGTCACCAGATCTAGCTGTGTTCAGTGTTGACGCTGTTTTATTTTGTTATCATACCAGGCCTGTGGTTTTTTTTTTCTTCCTTGTGCTTGATTGACTTAAGTGCTTAGACCTGTTAAAATGTCGTGTGTTCACTATAAGTTCTCTTCCAAACTGGACTACAACACTGTCACTTTCGATGGGCTGCACATCACCCTCAACGAGCTTAAGAAGCAGATTATGGGCCGAGAGCGCCTCAAGGCCACAGACTGCGACCTGCAGATCACCAATGCGCAGACGCGAGAAGGTATGTGATCAGCTGACAAGAATATGTCGTCCATTATTTTTGGCGAGTAATGGTTGGATAACAGGTTCACATTTTCGTCTGTCTCAACATTAGGACAGAGGTAAAATATCGCCGTATGTTGAGGTACATATTGTACATATTGTGCTACACCACTGAAATTATGGCCTATTTTCATTGTTTATGAATATGCCACATGTTTTCCTTAAAAAGATAATTCAAATTTCCAAAAAAATTTTTGTCAATCTGTTTTAGCTCCATACCACGTGTCTAGATAACTATATTAACATTTTCCTGAGCCAGGTTGTTTTTTTTTTTTTTTTATGTCAAGCTACTAATATTGTAATATTATTACCCAAATGTACCAGGTGATTCCTAAAAAATATATACAAAAAAGGATTTTTATTAACTCATAGATCTTTTGGTTATTGTTATATATTTTTTCACAACCTAAATTGAAATTGTGAGACTATGCAAGTCATAGTTAACTCCTCCAACACCATCTTTTTGTGCACTTAATTGATATAAAACAATGTTACATCTAATATTATTATTACGTATTAAGACACTGTGTACACGACTGATTAGGTTTATACGCCTTTTTTTGGTCTGGCCCGAAGTTACTTAGCTACATATTCTACTGAACAATGTTTTATGTCTGAACTATAATTTGTGTCGTGTTTTGTAGAATACACCGATGATGAAATCCACATCCCGAAACACTCGTCCGTGATCGTCCGCCGCACTCCGCTTGGAGGAGTGAAACCTGCTGGCAGGACGTTCATTGTGTAAGTATACCCAAAATACTACATTATTAAATGAACGGGATAACTGTTGTTTACGCTGCACTGCCTGATCTGCTGTGAATGCGGCCAACTTTACCCTGGATGTGGTTTTAATATTTGCTCTTGAGTTTTGTCAACAGCTGATGGTTTCTTTCTCCTGTTTTTGTTTCCGCAGAGATCGTTCTGACACAGCTGTGGTGGGATCTTCTAGACCCGTATGTAAAACAAACCCAAAATCAACCCTCTCTCCTCCTTCTCTCACCTCTCTCCCTCTCCCCCTCTTTCTGGCTTTAGTCACCTTTCTTGAGAACATTCTGTCAGTACTGATCGAGTTGTGTGTATCCTCTGTTCACTGTGTGTTGGCTACATTTGTGTTGAGATCTCAACCTCTGTGTTATTTGATGTCTATTTGGGAGGGTTTCCTGGAGTCACCACAGTTAACAATAGTTTGTTGTTTCTCTCTAAAACCACCGGGTTTCTGTTTTGAAAGGAGCAGATTAAAGTTTCAAATTGCTGAACGAGATGAGGTTAAGATGAGAAACAACAGACTCGCCGCCTTTTGTTTTTTTTTTAATGAACTTGTTGAACTGTTGCCACTTTATAATGGATTGAGATATCACGTAATTTGTTAATGATTGTATTTCATAATGAAATGGTATTGTTGCCTGCCTCAGGCCAGGAAAATGTATTTTAAAGGGGTTTGTAAAAGAACAAATATGGTATTTTTGTCATTTTATTTTCTGTGAAAATATTCAATTTCTATGTGGTTTAAGAACCCAATGAAGTAAAATGTGGCTGGGATTGATTGTAATTAACTTTGATTACAATTACAAGACTAAAGTTGTGGGAGAGACTCACCAGTGTTTTATTTTGAAAGCTCACCCTGCTAATCTTTAATATACTTAAACTTGTTCAGTCATATTTGCCCATGTCAATTATTTTTGTCCTGTACAATTTCACCATGAAGATGTTCTATTCTGCATTGAGTATGAACTGCACACAACCTTTAAACCCCGAAGGCTCACAGATGTCATCCTGATGAGTTCAAAGCTTTGAATTAATTCAGATTCCTACGTGTCTGTCTTACAAACAGCAGCTGCTAGCTCTAAGTGTATTTTTGTGGTTTGGGGCATCGGTTAAGAAGCTCGTTTTGATACGTGAGATGCTGTCCGTTGGCCACTGACTTCTATTGCTGTGACATGATCACAAAGTACTTTGACAGATTATCAGTAAAGTAAATATCTTGTCAATCTCCGGAGGCCCTCCATGGCTGCTGCAGTGAGAAGTATACTGGTGTAGTGTGTCCTGTGAGCTGTAAGCTGCAGAACCTGTCAATAAAGTTGTTCAGTGGTTCAGTGTCAGAACCACTTGCACCAGATCCCTGTGTGTTCCCTCCACAGCCTTCTGCAATACCCAGTCTTTCCTCCGAGCCCTGCATATCACGACGGACAACCGACCCTGCCCACTTGTTTATTTACCTCCAAGAGCATTTTCCCAAGAAATGGGCAGAGCAACCATTGTGTTTGTCGCTGTAAAGTATGACTTTCTCTGTCCGTGCATGAGACTTAATTCTCACGGTTCATTGACTCCTGACCTGCATCAGAAACGTCACTCAACCTGCTTTCTCCCTTCACTCCAGAGGTGTTGGGGCGCTTTTTAGGGAACACTTTGAAGGAACACTTGACAACTCTTAGCAGTTTCTTCATCAGGCACTTTATTTAAAGACTAATTTCTACATTTGTGTCTCGTCAGCTGTAAATATTTGACACTTTAACAGTGTTTGCATTTCTTATTGAAACAGTTTGACACAACTCCCTGCAAGCTCATTAGTTTACAGAAAGCAGGCGTGAACTGGTTTTGATGAAAGCTTCTAACGTCTATGACGGACTCTTTTGACAAGTCTGTGCTGAAACTTGAATCCCTGTGGCCTGGTGAAGGGAGACCGCATGCTAAAATTAAATGTCAAGTATTTCTTTAAGGAAATTGGCCTCTCCCTACCGTAGCGGAAGCTTTAGGGACTCTACAGACAGATGTGCTAGTCATGTACTTCTGGAGTTTGCTGATGGTGCCCAAATAGGGAGTCGCTGATATTCCTATGATTGGGGAAATCCTATTTTATTCTCTAAATAATGTAGATCTCTTCATATAAGCAGCTCTGAATAGATACAACCTTAGGCGAGGCTTTCACAACATTATGTTTTTAGTTATGACTCGAAACTGTCTGTAGAGGGATGAGACTAATAAACCATGTCTTGATTTACATGCTCACATGCCTGCATTATTTCATGCACTCGGTCCTCAACAAAGACTTTAATCTTGACTTAGATGGAGACTCTTAAGGGACTGGACACAGATGTGGTGGGGGACTATCTGGGCTCTTATCTTCCACTGTATGTCTATTAGATACTGTGTTAATACCTTTAATATCTCCACTCTGATTCTCCTACAGACTGACTCTTCTCCGTCTATGTCACTCGCCCAACTCGCCAAGGTACTGTTTCTGTACATGCGGGCAGTACTTCCAGAACAAATGCTAATCAAGTTGAATAGATGTTTCCTTTCATCTTGTGGTGTTGACATCCTCCTTTTATCTATTTTCTTTTTTCTTCTCCCTCTCTCCATTATGTGTTTTAGACTGCTAACCTGGTTGACGCTAATGCATCAGAGGAGGACAAGATTAAAGCCATGATATCTCAGTCCAATCATGAATATGACCCGATACAGTTAGTACACACACACACACAGTGTTCTTGTGCTCGATGGAAGTCGGCCTTTGTTCTGTGTTTACGCTCATGATGCAGTATACTAAACAATGTCTTTCTCTAGCTGTATATAGTTTTAAGAAATGTATTGAACTTGTCTGTAGTTACTCCAAGAAGTGTGTTGGACCTCCACCTGCTCACTACACCTGCTTTCGTTGTGGAAAGGCTGGCCACTACATTCGACAATGCCCCTTGCTGATGGTAACTATCATCTATCGTTTAAGTCTGTAATGGTTATTTGTATTGTGTTTTATTCAAATTTTTCTTTTTAACTTTCTAGATCCAGGATAAGAGTGTGGAGAGTCCCAAGCCAGTGAGGATTAGTAAGGGCATTCCTCAGAGCTTCATGGTGAAGGCAGAGCCCGGCACCAAAGGAGCCATGTTAACCAGCACTGGAGAATATGCGATACCTGCTATAGATGCGTACGTTTCAGCCAATGTTATATATTGTCTTATGGCACATTCATTTTTGCCACACTTGTCTTTGTCTTAACCCATCTGTTGTGACCACAAACACAGGTTGACTGCCGTTTCCTTCTTTTTGCTAGTAATGGTCCTCAAAACTAAAAACAAAAATGAATCTGTTATTACAGGGAGGCATATGCACAAGGAAAGAAGGAGCGCCCTCCGTTTGTTCCACATGACCAGTCATCCTCTGAGGACGAGACCGACCCAATCCCCGACGAACTCTTGTGTCCGATTTGCAATGACCTGATGACGGATGCCGTCGTTATACCCTGCTGTGGAAACAGTTACTGCGACGAGTGTGAGTTCTTACTCGTGATAAAGATCTTAAATGTTACAGGAAAATAGTGATACAAACTAATAAAAGTAGGGAGTCAAAACGAGGCTTTACCAAGCAAACGTCTCAACTATACTACTAAATGTTTTGGTCCCGTCGCATGTTTTAAAGTGCTCATTTTGCGTAGATGTTTAGGGGAAATTTACTGGGAAAATGGCAGAAATATCTATTTAATCAACAGTGGCCCCTCTAGAGAACTGCTGCCTCACGGCATGCTTCATTCTGAGTCGTTCTGATTCATTTTTATGTTCCACAGTGTAATGGACTGATCTCACACTCAATCTCTGGGAAAGTCTATATTCACTCTTAGAAAAAGTAGAAAATGATGCCTGTGAATATATGGTGACTAGGCAGGTTGAGGGGAAGTTATTTTCATAAAAATGTACATAATCATGAGTCTAAAGGCTTGAGTTGTTTGTCAAATTAGCTTCCGTCTAATCAAGGGCTGTTTGTTTTCAGGTATCAGGACTGCCTTGTTGGACTCAGAGGAGCACACCTGCTTCACATGCAAACAGTCCGATGTTTCACCTGATAATCTCATCGCCAACAAGTTTCTCCGACAGGTAACCCCCTTCAAATGCATGTGTTTTGATGCGTTGCATGTTTTGGTACAAAGCAGAAATTTGGAAAAAAAAGCACAATCTCCTTCTTTTTTTTTTTTTTTTTAAACACGCTTCTCTTCATGCAGGCTGTGAACAACTTTAAGAATGAGACCGGATACACCAAACATGTTCGCAAGCAGGTGCAAAATGCAGCCCCGCCGCCACCGCGCCCTCAGTTGGTCCGGCCACTGCACTCGAGACAGCAGGACCCGCTGCTGGCCCACATCACTCACCCTCCCCCCACAAGTGCACCCTCCACTGCCCCTCAAGTACAGGTCCCGTCCCCCGCTCCTGCACCCACTCCTGCACTCGCTCCTACTCCTGAACCTGCTCCTACTTCTGCTCCTACCCCTCCTCATGCTGCTGCTGTTGAAGAACAAGATGATTCACCAGCCCCTGCACCTTCACCTGTTGTTGACCACCATTCTCCTATGCACTCCGCCAGCCATGTGGAACCACCCCCTCCGGGGTAAGTTTAATCTAAAAGCTGCAGTCTGAAGAAGTGATGTTTGAAATTAAATGCCATTTTTATTTCTAAATGTCTCCATCTGTTTTATGTTCCAGTGAGACAAATCCAGAACCTACTGTGACACCAGACTCTTCAGGACCCTCAGTAAGTGGATCACAGATGAGGCCGCCTTGAACATCTGAATTGAGGCGTTTTCACACGAGCTAGATTTATTCACACCATGCCAGAGTACAGTTACTTCCCACTTCATTTCTCCGCCACACGGCTTTCACATTAACCTTTACATTTGAGTCATCAGGTTCGTGATGTTATTTTGCGTTGTTGCTTTGTTTATATTTTGGAGACGAGAACAAACATCCCACCTGCCTTCCTGCTTTATCACCCATGGCCGTGCACTTCAGATGAGATTGGCGCATGATTTGCGTTATTGTACATTGGCGCTGTATAAAAAATAAATAGCTGCCATTTCTAAACTACTTGGGACTGCTACTCGTATTAAAAAGCAGTCTACTTGAACCAAGGTGTACCACTTCAATCTCACTGACTGTTATCAGCGTTTAGTACAAGAGATTCAATATGACCCCGCAGATTACTTACCGTCTCTTGTTTCTTTAGTGACCTTGTGACGAGTTTTAGTACATTTTTTGCTCCGATAACGAATTTCAGGGTTGGTAACTATTACTGATTATATTTATCTTAGAATCTATGACAACACCAATATTAAGAGAACCTTCACCATCCCTAAAATACAGAAGACACTTGTTTATTGTAAACTTGTTTGTTTAATATGTAGAGTAATGAATACCACACCATATATTCTTGTTGACAAGCATATAGAGGTAAATTGATCAGAATTAGGAGCCAATGCATGATGGCTATTTTACCAAAAAGGTAAACACCATTTCCCCTAGGCGGTTGCATTTCTGGAAAAGAGGTTTAATTGATTTGTGCCAAGTTGAACTGAGAACCTACAGATTTCTGCCTCTGCACATACTTGTGCATCCGTGAACACAAGAAACTGTAATTTCTCTTGGAGGTAACTACATTATTCTCACTGTGATTTCTCTCACAGAACTACCATTTAAATAGGATCGGCCCCCCACCGCCTATAAGGCCGCCTCATCCACCAGGTAGGAGGTTTAATTTAGATCATTTAACGAGATTAAGTGAGCCTGGGGGAACCACATTCTTCAACGAGCAAACTCTCTGCTCTTTATTAGGTCACCATTCACGACCGCAGCACTCTCACCGAGGAGGAGGCCGACCCTGGGAGAGGTAAGACCCGTCTGTGGGACTATCTGATCAATTAAAAGTTTGTCTTGTAATATGTCAGTCTCGCAATGGTTCATGTCCCTCCCTTTGTACCAGGTTTTACAGAGGAAGAGACCACCCCCCCACTCACCTCCAGCCACCTCTACCTCCTGCACCTGTCCCTCCAGTGTACCCAGCGCCGTCCATGTACCCGCCCCCACCCCAGTCCTATCCCCCGCCGTACAACTCTGGCCCGGGCCTTCTCCCTCCTATCATGGGGTACCAACCCCAGCCTGTTTATGTTCCCGGACCCCCAGGGCTCAACCCACCCTGGGTTCCCCCTGGATCCCAGCCCCCTCTTCTGCCTATGCCCCCCCTCGGTCAGCCCCCCCTCTCCAAGGAAGACTTCTACAGACAGCGGCACCACCGACAGGACACGTGAGTTGTTTCCTTTTCATACAGTTACGAATTTCTAATGTGAAATGAACGCATAAATAACATTAACATCAGTGACATAAGAACTATTGTGGTTTCACATGAGAGTAGTTTTTAGTAGTTTCAGTGTTTTTGTCTTTGTATCCTCAGAGTTACATCCAAACTGGATGAATTTACTAAAGACTTCCACAAAGAGCTTATGAAGTACAGAAATGCACCAAAGAGACGAAGACCATCATATTCAAGGTAACTTCATGAAGACAGCATATCAAAATAGTTTTTAGTTTTTACATTAATTGCATATACACAGTCCTTTAAAGCCATTTGTTAGAATTTGCATAATCCAATCTTTCCTTCTGGTCTTCTGAACCATTTCCTTTGCTAGATCCCGGTCATACAGTCGCTCTCCATTCAGCCGCTCTCCGTACTCTCGCTCTAGATCCAGATCAAGATCCAGGTCTTACTCTTATTCTCCCAGTCGATCCCGTTCACGCTCCCATGGCCGGTCTTATCCCCGCTCCCCTTATTCTAGACGCAATGGCCGCAGTTATGGACGATCGCGGTCAAGGTCCCGTTCCCGGTCAAGGTCTTATGGGTATCGTCGGTCTGGCTCACCGCGGTCTCCTCCCCCCTACAGGCCAGGAGGCTGGGAGGGAGCAGAAGGACCAGGACCTTATAGGTCCAGGTCACGGTCTCCCCCTCCCCCTGGCCCTGGCCCTGGCCCTGGCCCTGGTGGCTTCCGGCCCCGCAGCCCTGGTGGACGAAAGCCGCCTCCTCGGGAGCTCCCGCCGTATGAACTGAAGGGTCCCAGTCCTGGCGGCAATGAGCGCTGGGAAAGAGAACGGTATCGGCAGTGGGAGAAGGAGTATGCAGACTGGTACAACCAGTACTACAAAGACTACGACCACCAACACCCCTCAATGCATCACAGAGGCCGTGGTAGCAGAGACAGGGAGAGGGGCAGAATGTCCCCATTATCTAGAAATTACTCTCCCCAAGGGAGAGGAAGAAGAGGAAGAGACGAGAGAGGGGCTCCCCCTAACCATCCTCCATCCTCTTCCTCATCAGCGACTAAGTCCAGCGCTAAACCCCTGAAGACAAAGAAAGTAAAGAAGAAGAGAACTGGGGACGAATCAGAGGCATCACATCAGTCAGTAGACAGAGGGGATGCGACTCCTGTCAGAGACGAACCGATGGACGAAATGCCTTCACTCGTTAAAACGCCTCCCATGTCCTCAAAGACTTCAGTTGGAGCCGCAACCTCTAAAGCTCCAGCTTCTAAAAGCACCGCCGCACCCGTTAAACCGTCAACCAAGTCAACATCAAAGACTCCGTCTGATAGGACAAAGAAAGACAGGGGCCAAAAGGTTAAAGCTAAAGTTAAGACAGAGAGCGTGAAGGTAAAGAGTGACAAAGTGAAGAAAAGGCCCGGAGAAGGTGTGGTGACCAAGAAAGACTCTTCATCCTCCTCCTCCTCTGGCACAAAACCGTTGAAGCCCATTAAAACCAAACCAGAAGATGCCCCCAACTCTACCCCTAAAAAGGAGAAGGGTAAAAGCTCTGCAGTGAGGCCCGCCCTGCTAAAGACCCCCCCACTGTCCTGCCAGAGCCTTCCTCTACACCATCCCTCTCTTCATGACGGCCCGCGGCCCGGCCACGACATGCGGGGGAGAAGAGATCTTCCTCAGGGCGGTGGTCTCCTTCCCACCCCCCATCAACACGGACTCCCACTCCTCCACAGACCTCCCTCCCCCGACAGTCGGAGGAGGATGGGAGAGGAGGGCCGCTCTTTGCTTGGACCCCCTCCTGGAAAGCTGAGGAGAATAGACGGACTCGGAGGTGATGTCATCTCCCACTCTCACATGTCTCATCAGAACCCGCTCCACAGACTCCCACCCCCCTCAGACCGGCCCGGTCTTCTTCCCATACCGGGGAGCCGTGATATGGGCCGGGGAGACGCGGATCGAGGATCCATCAGACCGCTAATGGACCTTCAGGTGGGTCCTCAGAAACACCGGGATGTAATGATTTGTGGGTTTACAGACGGTACTTACAGATGTGTTTGTCAACTCCATTAATAGCGTTGGTATTATAAAAATCTGACTCACTAAGTTCTTGTATTTACAAATGGCTGCAGCTAACGATTCTCATTAGAGCTGAAACAATTACTCAATTGTTCAACTAGTCGATCAACAGAACAGTTAAACGCCCAAAAATGATGCTGGTTTTAATATTTGCTGATTGTCTTTGGTGTAAATGGAATGTTTGTGTTTTAGGCTTTTGCTTAGGAGATGAGCATTTTTCACCATCTGTGAGTTTATAGACCAGTTGAAAATAATTAGTTGTAGCCCAAATTCATGTTTGTATTTATTTTTCTGATTAATTGGATAATGGTGTGTAAAATGGAATAAGTAATTAAAAATGTCCTTTAGCGCAAGGTGACATCCAAATAGCTTTTTTGGAGTTATGCACTAGAGAAAACCATCATAACCATTAATCAAAAATTATAATTTCAGAATATATCATCTCATGAAAGCGCTGAGTTGTTCTGAATTAACCCCTTGTGACACTTTCTATGTGCTTTTCAGGTGAAGCCGCTGACCCAGAGGAGGATCAAGTTGAACAGGGACCTGGGGAGGAAGGGTAGCACCGAGTCAGCAACCACAGACAGGACACTGTCTGGGTCTGAGAAGACCACCTCAGACCGATCAGCGGCTGCTAACCTCTCTGAAGGAGACCGGCCCAGCGGTACAGCAGAAGGTGCCGTTAGAAAGGAGCGGTCAGCATCTGGGGAGAGGGGAGTCAGCAGAGAGAGACCAGGAAGTGCTGGAGACCGACTGCAGGGTTCAGACAGAGAGCAGAGCAGAAGCTCCGGACTGGACAGAGAGCGGGACAGACCTTCAGGATCAGACAGAGGCACGACGTCCGACAGAGAGAGGGACAGGGTCTCCAGCTCGCAGAAAATAGCAGTCACAGTGGAGAGAGACCTCGAAGGAGAGAGGTCGGTGAGGACCGAGCGAAAGCCCTCCAGTGCAGGAGGGAGGTCTGTCTCTCTGGATAAAATGACCATCGCAGAGAAGTCATCCGGCTCCAGGAGCTCCTCAGACCCTCAGGAGAAGTCATCTGGCTCCAGGAGCTCCTCAAACCCTCAGGAGAAGTCATCCGGCTCCAGGAGCTCCTCAGACCCTCAGGAGAAGTCATCCGGCTCCAGGAGCTCCTCAGACCCTCAGGAGAAGTCATCCGGCTCCAGGAGCTCCTCAAACCCTCAGGAGAAGTCATCCGGCTCCAGGAGCTCCTCAGACCCTCAGGAGAAGCCAAGCACATCGTCTAAGGAGAGGGGCGAAGGGTCCGAGCGATCTTCTAAATCTGACAGGTGCGTTCCATTTGTTTTCCCTGCTGTTTGTCAAACCACCATCCATATCCATGATTTGATATTGTGGTTCTGTGACCGCAGTCGTTAATACGTGTAATTATATCTCACTCTTATTTCCCAGGAGTGTGTCCAAGGACAGAACAGAGAGGAGTGCCCCCTCAGGAGAGAAACCAGCTGCTGCTCACAGAGAAGGTAATTTGAATCTCTGTTTCCGTGCACGTGTGTGTGTGAAGAGATGATAACTTTGATTTAGTCTTGTGCCAGCTAATTAAGCATTGATTAAACCAGCTTCCTCTCTGCCCCTTCCTTCTCTTCCAGCAGTGAAAGATGTCGAGGAGCCTGCTGTGAAGAGCAAACCCAGGATCAGCCGCAAGGCGCTGACGAGCCACACAGTGAGCTCCACTAGGTGAGTCTGTTGTCTTTTTGTGTACTTTCTTTGTTCAAGTTAATTGCCGCACTTTGATCAGGCTATCGTTTAGGGTTCTCTGATCGATTGGCCACTGATGGTTACGGGCCGATATTTGTTCTAAATAGTTTGATCGGTGGTCTCTATAAAGGCTGTCCTTACAGACACAGCTAGAAACTCACACACACGCGGGCACTGGGCAGCTAAATTGGTTAACACGGGTGCCGAAATGAAGCTTTGGCACCTGTATTAAATTAACTTGCAGAAGGACATGTGACCGGTCCAAAATATTCTGTGTGGTTAAATGTTTAACCGTTGATATCCCGACCTGGTATTTTCTTGTGATGCTGTATTCACACCAAACGCAAAGCGAATTGTCACATCTGGTTACTTGCGGGAGATTGATCGCTCGTTCATTTTTTATTAAATCCACATCACTCGTGCCGGATGCGTCGTAGAGGAAGCGGGGCTGACCTCCATGTAGACAGCGTTTCATCAGTCGTGGATGAAATAACCACTGTTGCAGCTTTGTACGTGTTGTGGAAGTCCCAGATATTCCGGGAAAGTAAATGCCGTCGTGTCTGGGTTCATAACATCATCCGGAGGCGCTTGTTGAATTTTTTGTAATGTATTCACTGTATCAAGCAAGCCACACGTCGGCTGGTTTACTACAGCTGTATGAATCCAAAATAAACGATTTTGATTTAATTGCAATAAACGAATAAGAAGGATGTCAAAGTAACTACGTAATGATGCCGATTTATAAGTCTATCCACACGAACATGTCTGCTCGTGTCCTTGCAATGACTTTGTATGTAATCATGTAGAAGTATTGAAAAAATAGAGCTGAAGCAATTAGTCAGTTAATGGACAGAGAATTAATCAGCATCGATAAAATGACATGTTTTCCTGCTGAATAGCTTTGCACTCGCTTAAATTGCTTTTGTCCATACAAGCAATTTAAAGACGTCACCTGAGATCTTTTTCACTGTTCTCTATTTTGACATTTTATAGACCAAACCATTAATCAAATTGATCATCTGCCAATTATTTTATAATGAAAAAAAATCATTACTTGTGGTGATTCTTGTAACCCAGCCTGAGCCTTATGCGTTAAAGGATTGATTTTACATAACCAAGTCATGTTCCTCGGTCGCCTTAAAGGGGAACTCTTTGTGTAAAGCCTTTTGTGACTCCAGAGCGAGCTGCACAAAGTCGGATACATTTCCTCAAGTGTTGTCACCTGAGCCTCCGTCAGTTGGGGATCAAGTCTTCAAGTCTGTAGGCTCAATGCTACATTAGCCTGCTACTAGCACAAAACACAGACGAACTGTCAGCGGCGCCGTTGCTTTGTCAGTAAAGTAGGCGGCAGGTTTTCACAAGGAAGAAGAATGCTCGGAGTAAAAAGGGTGATCTGTCTGGTTCTGCTGCTTTAATATTGAGAATGTTCTGTCCATCCCGAGTCTGACGCTGTTGTAGGAGTGAAACGCTTCATCATTGCATTACTCTTTTAAACAAGTCTGTGTTTCCTTCCACACTAGGTCATCTCAAGAAACCAAGCGAGACTCCGACAAAGATCAGAAGAGTGTATCCTCCAAACCTGCAGAGCAGCTCCCATCGAGCCCCGTGAACAGCCGGGGCCGCAGCCCGAGCATCAGCCCGGAACCCACACCGGCCAGCGAGCAGCCGCTCATTCAGCCGCCTCCTCGCTCCAAGTGGGAAAGAGAGGACGACGAAGAAGGCCAGGAAAACGGACCTAGTGCACCCAAGGAGCCCTCACCCGTGCCACAAAGGGGCCGAGCCAGAGAAGGGCAGACTGAAGCACCGAAACCTGTTAGGGGTGAAGGAAAGGATGCCACAAGGGAGGAGAGGCGAGGCGCAGGTAGAGAAGAGAGGAAAGGGAGAGCACCGAGGGAAGAGGGTAAAGGTGGCAGGACAGCACAGACAAATTCCGACAAACCAACCAAACTAAAACTTGTTAGGGAGGAAGGGAGATCTGCAGCAAGGGAGGAAGGGAGATCTGCAGCAAGGGAGGAAGGGAGATCTGCAGCAAGGGAGGAAGGGAGATCTGCAGCAAGAGAGGAAGGGAGATCTGCAGCAAGAGAGGAAGGGAGATCTGCAGCAAGAGAGGAAGGGAGATCTGCAGCAAGAGATGAGGGACGAGGAGTGACCGGGAAGGAAGAGAGAGCTGCAGAGGGCAGAGGAGGACGAGAGGAGGGTCGTGGCCTAGAGCCCAGGAGACAGCGATTGTGTTCTGACCTGGGCCGCGAGACGGACGAGGCGGCCTTTGTGCCCGACTACAGCGAAGGTGAAGGCGAAGGCTCGGAGACAGAGAGGGGAAGGAGTGGCAGCGGCAGTGTGTCTGGCAGCCAACCCTCCAGCCCCACCCAGAGCAACCACAGCGGCTCGGCAGCTACCACCGCGGCGGACAAGAAGAAGAAGAAACGCAAGAAACATAAAAAGCACAAGAAGCACAAGAAGCACAGCGCCCAGTGCAAGGAAGGAGAACAAAAGGAGCACAAGCACAAACACAAGAAGAAGAAACACAAAAAGAGCAAGGACAAAGATGTGGAGGAAGAGGAGGAGAAGTTGGAGAAAGCAGAGGAAGGGGCTCCACACTAGCCTTTTGTTAATAAGGAGATAATGATGTGTTCTAGACATATCGGCTAACACTGGCATGCTGCTCCATGTGCCACTCTGAGGGATGAAACAAGTCTTTGACTGTCCACGACACTGGACGGCTGTCTGGCTGTTGTTCACTTAATGTACTTGCGGTACTTTGTTGTGCTTGGATTTGCAGCATTACGACCGCTGCGGAGGTTTCTTTAATGTTCAATGTGAGCCTTTTCTTTGAGACTTTAGGTCAGAGAAACCTTGGAATTTGATGCTGTGCGGCACTATTGTGATCCACGTAGAGCTGGGCAGAAAGGACTTGATGATAATACCGGATCCACAGCAGTGAATCTAAATGATAGGAATAACAGACACTGTACTCAGGGATGTGATTGCTTCTTTGTCGAGGAGGAATTGCCGTTTCTCCGTCTCTGATTCATTTGTAAATAGATGAGCTATTGCTTCACATAATAATTTTCCCTCCGTTTGTTTTGCTCACATCCCTGTGTGCTGTTCAAGGCTTAAATGCGGAATAACCTTCATTGCTATGAGGGTCGTTGTAAGCGCTTTTTTTTTTTTAAGGATTGTACTTGTGGTTTTTGCATGTTTTAGTACATTAACTCCAAATCAGGAATACTTTCCATCACTGCAAATCATCTTCAATGCTGATAAAATCATCTTTAGGCAGCCACTGGTTTCAATCATGCCAGGAGTTGTTTTTTTGGGGGGGGGTTATAAATTAGCTTAAATAAAGGCAACAAATTATTCTTGGATAGGTTATCAATCATTTTCTTACCAAACTTACATCTTTGGAAATAGTTAGCACTACAGTATTTTTGATCAATGTGCTAAAACCGACACGATCACAGTATGGTCCTTTTTAAGTTAAAACAAATCTTTATGTACCCATGCTACACTGGATTGTTTAAATCTAGGATGTGTTCATTAATGTAAAATCAGTCGGCATGTTTTTGTTCCAAAGTTGCAGTAATGTCCATCACGTTGTCTGAGTGTGTGTGTGTGTGTGCGCGCGAGAGAAAGTGAAATGTGACGGAAGTTGGACAAATTGGAGAACTTGTGTTCTTACAAATGAGTTGTTCGGGTTTTTGTTTTTTTTTAATTAAAATGTTTTGACCTCATGAAAATGTCTGAGTTGTACTTTATCAATGATTGAACTCTGAGTTGTGTAATGAGCACACAGATGAAGGTTAATGGCACCGTGTTGTAGCATGGACTATTAGACATTTGAAGAGATGCTGCACATCTAAACGTGTGAATACTGGGATGAAAATATGAAAAAATATATAAAAAGGAACTTAATGAGTTGGAAATCGCTCAACACGCCGTCTACTGTTTTCAAGGCCAAAGCTGAAATAGAGATGATCTACACTATGCTACCACTGAGACTCTCTTAGCCCATTATGCACTTTCATTTAATTTTGGCATATTTCAAAATGATGCAGTTGGTGGATTTAGGCTACGAGTGAAGTCACACTAAGTACTTCAGGTGTTGAATGTACCTGCCTTCTATCCATACAGACATGGATAGAAGGTGCCAGTGATTAGAAAAGAAGGCGTGTAAAGTTTTGAGTTGCAGTAAAATCATCACTGTTGACATAATGCACACCGTGTGCTAACACTTTAATGTTGCACAGCAAGATAATGGTAAAGTAAGTGTTAGAAGAAAAAAAAACACCTACAGAGATGATAATAAAACCTTATTTGCAACAATCCAACAGAATATAGTGTGATTATTCTCACTGAAATGCAAAGATTAGCAAACAGTTTAATTAAGCATTAATGAGTAAGGCTGTTAAAATAAACTACAATTACATTTTTACAGTATCTAAGGTTTCAATAGTATTACCAGGGAGAATATGTAGGTATGTTGGCAACATAGCGAATACATTCTTGACGTCGGTATAAGTTAAGAGTGAGCTCATTGATTTTACCTGACAGTTTGACTATCACCTTCTAAACGTGTGAAGTCTTTCTCAAGACATTTGGCTGCTCTTTGTGCTCCCACCGTCTAAGAATGTGTAAACACGGGTACTCCAATTAAAATGTACTATCTATCTACATACTATCTAAAACAGTTTACTAACGCTTTCTATGAAGAACACATCTATAGCGTGTTATGGGGGCATTCAAAGTGAATTATTATGCTTTCTGATTCACTAATATTATAGATGAGACTTATAATGTCAAAATGTCTTATGGATGCTCTTTAATAATTATAAACTAGAGGTTGACTGACGGGGCTTATAATAGATTATGACTACGTATACTCTCCTGTACTCTCAACAACCACCTGTACTTAAGGATCCATAGTTTGCAGTAATAGTACATCCTGTATCATACGTTATTGTGTGTGCTAAGTAAAGTGAAATGTAGTAATGAAGCATTATAAATGTACTATGAATGGCCTCATAATGCGCTATAGATGTCTTCATGGAAAGTTTTACCAACAGTAGCAGCATGGACATAAAGGCTCAACCACATTTTGTTACAAGAAGCCCAAAGTACATGTTGGACAACACATTCCACACATATAGGTGGTAAAAGACAGTGATGTACTGCAGCACATGAAGTATCAGATATATTTGGAAGTAACTGGATTATTCAGAGAGGATGAAGTATGTCCTCGAAAGCAGATCCTCAAACTCATTGGTGAGTTTCAGGGTCTTTGGCAGCTCATTCCTTCACAAATATGAATAATTAAAGCACGAAGTCCCACAAGGAAACCAGTGCAGTGACACAGACTGAACACTGTGTGGCGCTGTAACTCCTGCAACTTCTACCGTGGGAGGGAAGCAGGTTAACAATAAAAGATCTTCTCTCATATGCCTCAGCTCCAAAATATAACCCCACATGTCACCACCTCTCTCTCCCTCTACCTCTCCCAGAGCACACAGCAATAAGCTTCATTGTGTTTGTGTGTCTGTGTGCATGTTGCAAGTGTATGTGCCTAGTCAGAGAGATGGCGTGACTGTTGGATCACAGGAAACGGGTTGAAGGCAGGAGATGGGGTCACAGAAGGGTTGAGGATGCATTGAGAAATGACAGAGCAGCAGATGCATCTCTCCCATAAACAGCAGCACATTCTCAGCTTAGTCCATGTATTGTGTGTGTGTGTGCGTGTGCGTGTATATATATGCCTTAATGGACTCAGATCAGTGGGACCATTAGAGAAGATTAATACAATGTTTGTTTTAACCCTTGCACCAGATTATCATCTCGACACTATTCCTCTCATCTACTCTCCTGCAAGGTTCACCCTGCATGTGTGCGTCTGCGTGTCCACACACGTGTGTGTGTGCATGTGTGCACCTGTTATCTGCCTGTGAATAAGTGTGTGTCTGCTTTACAAGCATGACATAATTTCCTGTCATCAAGGCCAAAGGTTGCTAAGCAACTTCACTTCTGCCGATTGCCAGAAAAGATACGCTGACTGGCTCACACACCCTAAGTCTCTCTTATCCTGTCATAAATGTAACGTCTGAGGTAGTCGCTGGCTGTGCGTGCATGATCGCCCATGCGTTTGTAAGGACCGCTGTGCATTTATGCTTTGCAAATACGGTGCAGAAAAAGCTGAAGGAGACAGCGAGAGGAGAGCGGGATGTGGAAAATGTATTGTGTGATCGATTTCTATGATTCCTCGAACTGATAAAAAGGATGCACGGTACAATCCCTCTGGTTGTTTGTCTAAAATACAGCAACATATCCGAGCAGCCTGTTATGCTGGTGAAAAAGATACTCAATTGTAACTTATTTTGTACATGAAAGTCTTACTGTGATTACTAATGCAGTACCGTTTAGATTACACACTGCAGATTACAGTGGAAACATTTCACATAAGACATTTTCCTCATAAGAATGGCGAAATATGAACACAGTGATTTGTGGGCAGAACAGACACATTTACAGTCAACAGAGACAGATAATTACTGTTGTCTCCTCTGTTCCCCTGCTCAGAAAGCTGAACCTTTCAGAAGCTGACATGAACACGCTGACCATACCGTGTGTGTGTGTGTGTGGTGTGTGTGTGTGGTGTGTGCATGCTCTGTTAACCTCTTCATGTACTACTACATGACACTAGGTCAAGTAGAGTAGTAGGCAGGCTCAGTGTCAATGTGTTTCTGGATGTGTGTGTGTGTGTGTGTGTGTGTGTGTGTGTGTGTGTGTGTATGTAGAGTATGTCAGCTTTGCAGCATGATGTGCCCTCAGGTGGTTTTCATGGCAATTTCAGTGATTGATCAGGATTATTGATCTGTGATTGAATTTGCATCAGAGTGTGTGTGTGTGTGTGTGTGTGTGCGCGCATAGTTGTGACAATAGCATTGAATAAAACACTTCCCCATATATAATGTTATGTCATGGTCACCATGGAAACACACCCAAGGGGTGCCAACCACATGCTGATAATAATGTTTGGCCTAGATACCCATCCCTCAACCGATAACAGGGAAAGTATTTCTGCCCGTGTGTGTGTGTGTGAGTGCATTTCAGTGACTAATGTAAAGCATCATTTGGACACACCATGGGGACGGAGGAGTGAAAAAAATGCATGAAATGATTCTGTGGAGCAGAAGGAGTCTTGCATGAGTTACACGAGACAGCAAGTGTGAGAAGGATGAGTTGAGCTGGAAGGAGAGAGAAAACGAACACAGCCAGGGAGACCCAGTAACAACCAACGCGCACACACACACACACACACACACACACACACACACACACACACACACGGAGGCATCCAACAATGCTCCTCGTCAGTTCTCTTCTCGGGGAGAGCAAGATGTTAGCTGTAGAGGTCTGTGTGTGTTTATGTGGTTCAATGTGTCCTAGATTCTTTAACTCTGTTGAGATACACTAAATGTTTGATGTATGCCACTGCTGTAACAGTTATGAGAGCTGCGAGGAGTCTTGTCGGCTGTGGGCGTTGATTGGGTATTGCACGGTGTTTCCCTACTCTGAGGGATAATCTCATCTTATTTTACAGCCACACTAGCGGTGAATCCGCCAGTCTGTAAGTGCAAAACTTTGGGTCAGAGCAGAATATCTCCACAGTTTAGTGCAGACATTTGACAATCAGGTTGACTTATATAGGTGATCCCCCGACTTAATAGAGATAAGATTACATGTCCATTACATGAAATGAAAAGTTGACTTTGGTTTTCTGGCAAACAGACATAGAGCAGCTAAAATACATAAAATACATTTTCACATTACTTCCTTAACCATGTTTTCTAGCTAGTGGAACCTAGAGTCTCCTGCCACATGGCAACAGCTGATGATGTGTGAAGGGGGG